CAAAAGCCCAAGCAGTAGAACCCGAGTTTTCTACTAGCTTAGCTCAGCCTGTTGATGCCCAAGACCCGACGGAACAACAGGACTGGAAAGAGGTTCCAAGGAAACGAGAATCAGCCCGACGACCACCTCCACCACCTCGACCTCTGAACCTCAAGCCCAAGGAGAGACCCTGCAAACGATGGGCTGATTGGTCAGATTCAGGGTCGGATGATGAGATAAGCAAGCAGCTAGGACTCACACTGGTCTGATGAAAGATGATGGAGGTGATGTCGGTGATGGTGGTTTGGTGATCTCTTCAGAAGACCCGAACACACTCTCCCAACCTGTAGCTTCACTAGCTGTTCTAAGCAAGGCAAGGAAGAGGCTGATAACTAAAGGTATCGCTCAACTAAGGGACCACGACAAGGCCCTTAAGAACCTGCTTAGTGTTGCCAACTTAGGAACCACTGTCGGTCCTAAGCACATAGTTGTCTTCACTAGCGAGCCCAGTGCCTTTCAGGATTCAATCACTCATTGCATCGATGTGGGCACTGGTGCCACAGGCCCCTGGACTCCCAATGGAGCCAGGAAGGAGCTGCAAGAGATAGGACCTAGTTTGGTTGTTGTAGCCATTAGGTATAACGATCATAACGAAGGTTTAAATCACTCCGATCTATTAGACGAAGTGATTAGCCATTGCGAGCTAGCTGGAACTCCGTACCTTTTAGTGGATGGAGCGCAAACCAATCGCTGGCAGGAAGCGAGCATACCAATACATCCATTGTATGGTATAGGTGACGTTTCCTTCTATGGCAACGATCAGGGTTTGCTAGATGATTTTGAAGGTTGGTGTACTAATAGTTATCCTTATATGTCACCCCTAAGCTTCGACGATGTGTTTGCTCAAGACTTTATAGTCTGGCTCAAACACGTGGCAGAACACCAAGTGCAAAGATTGATAAATCATATGTGGAAGCTGCGAAGCTCCACAGATGCACCGAATGTGAGGACACGAAACCAAGGCGGAAGGCACATATCGTATCCATGCCGGAACGATACTC